TGTGGGTTTGAACCGCCAGCCTTCTGGTTAGCAGTCAAATGCCTCAGGCACTATGCCACCAGAGTTCCCGCAGTATGGATTACACTTCAATATAAAGAAAAATCCTCATGAGACCAATAAGCAGCATCACGATAAATGGAAAAAAGATGAAGTTGTCAAAGATTTCATATTACTTGGTTCTACAATCAACACCAATGGCAGCAGCAGTCAGGACATCAGATGTTGTATAGCACTGGGAAAATCTGCTGCATGGTACCTCTTCCTAGTGCTGAAGAGCAAGGATGTTTCCTTGAAGACTAAGGTGCACTTGACGCAAGCCATGGTATTTTCAAGTGCCTCATATGCATGTGAGAGCTGGACAATGAAAAAGTAAGACCGCAGAAGAGTTGATGTTTTTGTGTTGTGGTGGTGTTGTGTTGGTGAAGAATGCTGAAACTACCATGGACTGCTATAAGAGCTAACAAATCTGTCCTGGAAGACGTACAGCTGGACTGCTCCTTGGAAGCAAGAATGGGCAGACTTCATCTCACCCATATTGATCATGTTGTCAGAAGGGACCATTCCCTGGAGAAAGATATCATGCTTGGTAAAGTGGAGGGACAACGAAAAAGGGGAAGGCTCTCAACAAGATGGATTGACACAGTGGCTGCAACGATGGGCTCAGGTATAGCAAAGATCATGGGGCTGTCACAGAACCGGGCAGTGTTTTGTTCTGCTGTACATGAGGTTGCTGAGTTGGAGATGAGTTGACGGCACCTAACAACAGCAAAGGAGCTCTGGTGGCATAGTGCCTAAGGCATTTGACTGTTAACCAGAAGGCTAGCGGTTCAAACGCACCAGCCATTCCTCAGAAGGAAGATTGGGCAATCTACTTCCGTAGTGATACAACCTCGGAAACCCAAGGAGGAGTTGCTATGAGTCAGATCTGACTCCACAGCAGTGAATTTGGGTGTGTGTGTGTGTTTTTAACAACAAAGTAGAGGATCAGAGAAAAAGGGAAAGACTCTCAGTAAGATGGACTGACACAGTAGCTGCAACAATGGGCTCTAGCACAGTTAGGATTGTAGGACGGTGCAGGACAAGGCAGTGTTTCATTCTGTTGTATGTAGGGTCACTATGAGTTGGAACCAACTTGATGGCAGCTAACAAGAACAACAGAGACAGAAAGGGGAAATCACACCAACACCCAGAAGATATGGGGGTACAGCACACCTGAGGTCCCTACACTGATGAACCCCCAAGATCCAGAAGAGAGAAAGCTTTAACACTGGAGGCACAAGGGATGGTGAGAAGCAGCAGCAGAGAAATGGAGGCCGCAGGAAAAGAACTAGGTGGCTGGCAGGAGACAGCACTGTGGGCTTCCTAGCCCATGGAGCAAGAAAGCTGAGGGCCTCTGGGTGGAAGCCTTGCTGGCAGAGTAGGCAGTTGACAGAGCTAGCTAGGCTCACTGACTCAAGGAGCAAAAGAGCTGAGCATCTTTGCTGGAGGAATGGGCTGCCCTGTCTTTTACTGGCAGAGCTAAGTAACACTTTGTAACACTTGCCTGAGCAGAGCAGAGGCTGGGGGATCACAGAACCAGAGAAAGGCCCTGGCAGAGAAGCAGCTGCCCTGACCCAAGAAATGTATCCCGAGTTGTGTCTAATCCTAAATTGCAACATTACTTCTCTAATAAACCCCATAATTATGAGTGTTGTCTGTGAGCTGTGTGTGGCCACTGCAACAAATCATTGAACCAAGCAAAGTAGAGCATGCTAAGGGAAGGATGGTTGGTGCCAGAACTGGTAAAAATGTGAGAGGTTGGAGGCATGCGTAACCCCTGCCTCACAGGAATCGGCCCTGGGCTGTTGATCTTGATTCTTCTTCTCCCTTGTAAAGTTAGAAGTCAGATACCACCTCCACGCCATTTTCACCTTAACTATGTTTTAAAGTTACTTTCTACTCATAAAGATATATGGGCATATTTTATAAAAATGGAATCATACTGTTCTATTACTGTTTTTTATTTAAAACATTTCACATAGACATTTTTGGGTATCTTGATAGAATCCACCTCACTGATTTAAACCACTCCAGCCATTTGTATTCCATTGTCTGGGCACTAATTCATTGTTGCTAGGTGCCAAGTTGGTTCTGACTCATTGTGACATTATGTATGACAGAACAAAATGTTGCCTGGTCCTACATGTCCTCACAATTGTTGCTAATTGAGCCTATTGTTATAGTCACTGTGTCAAACCATTTCACTAAAGGTCTCCTTCTGATTTTGGTTACTGATTTTCTATTGAAACACTTTTAAATGGTTTCCAGTTTGGTGTTTTGTTTTGTTTTTCCATTATAAGCAACCATTGGAAATCCTTTTCCTTTGTGTACTTACTTATTTCCTTAGAATAAATTTCTAGAATTGGAATTTCGGGTTAAAGCAGCTTATTCTTATCAACTTAGAGCTTCCACATCCCAAACAATGGCCACACTACCCTTTCATGGACATTAATGTCTTTTACCAACCAGAAAGCCCCCGGATCTTTTGCGACCAGGGCCTTTATTGGGATCTCATGATTATTAGGCATGATTGACTGAATCATCCCCCCGTCTTCTGAGGAAAGCTGATAGCACATGGTGGGGTCTTTCTGGCCTGGCCACCCCCCACCCAAGGACAAAAAACTGTTTTTTGGGTAAAGTTAACCCCATACTTTTATAAAGTAATTTTCATGGGTTTCTGAAATCAGATGCTTTCTTTTAAAAAAAAATCTCTACCTTAATCAAACTTACCTTTTAGTTTTAAAGTGCTGTTGAGTCGGTTCTTACTCATAGTGAGCCCACGTACAACAGAATGAAACACTGCCCTCTCCTGCACAATCCTCCCAATGTTGCTATATTTGAGCCCATTATTACAGCCACTGTGTTATCCATTTAACTGAGGGTCTTCCTTTCTTCCTGAACCTCTACCAAGTATGATGTCCTTCTCCAGGGACTAGTCTCTCCTGATAACATATCCAAAGTACATGAGATAAAGTCTTGTCATCCTTGCTTCTAAGGTACATTCTGGCTGTACTTCTTCCAAGACAGAATTTACCATTAGCTCTGGTGGCGTAGTACCTAACCCATGTGACGACTGCTAACCAGAAGGTTGGTGGTTCGAACCCACCAGCCACTCTGCAGAAGGAAGAGTGGGCAATCTACTTCCGTAAAGATTTACCACCTCAGAAACCCAAAGGGGGTTGCTATGAGTTGGAATCGACTAGATGGCAGCGAGTTTGGTTTGGTATATATTTAGGTGCTTTGGTGGTGCAGTGGTTAAAGCATTCAGCTGCTAACCAAAAGGTCAATGGTTCGAACCACCAGGTGCTCCATGAAAGGAAGATGTGCAATCTGCTTCTGTAAAGATTTACAGCCTTGGAAACCCTATGGAGAAGTTCTATTCTGTCCTGTTGGGCTGCTATGAGTTGGAATTGACTTCATGGCAGGAATTTTGGTTTCGACTTTTTATATAATATTTACTATACCAATGAAAGTGACACAATAATTATTTTTGAAAGATGATAATAGATTGTAAGAGCTAATACACTGTTAGACTGCAATCAATTTGTAAATAACAAGGGAAAAAGTTACATTTCTAAGTAAAGAGTTTGCACTTCATAATGATTTATTGAACTCTTTAATATCATGTAAGAAAAATCTGCTTTGGACAAAACATTGCTTTATGAATCATCCATTATTTCTCAAAGAATAAGGCACATAATCACTACTGTAATAAAACACAAATCGGTAAGAAAATCTGAAGACAGAAGATGGCAATATGCCAAACAAAAAAGCAGGTTTACTTGCAACATTGATTTTAATACTAAGGTTACATGAAACTGTGCAAATGGAATGTTTACGTCAACTAAATCCTTCTTCTCTAAAAAAGGTTAATCATTTTAATAGAAAACCTGAAAGAAGAGAAGAAAAAGCAAATTTTGTAAAACTACTTTATTTTGAAAATATGCTTTGTCTCTCAATATCAGGCAATTAAGAATAAATTATTTAACTGGCACAATATTTTAGAATAATGTGTAAACAAATTAACGAAAACTAAAACAGCAGTAGTGGCACAATCAGGAATCTGTATTTGAAATGACATTACTGGCAAGTTCTGTTCTGTGTGAATTCAAATTCTGTGGTTATAATCCACAGAATCATAGGTTTCAATATTTCTCAACTTTATTTGTTAACATGTATTTTGTTGGCTTTAGATATATTTTTTAAAATAGGAAAACTCCCAACACATGAGATTCTTGGGCAATGATATTAAAAAGGAATACCTGAGTTAGATGTTACATAGCCAACATATCACAATTATTTCCTAAATCGATTTCTGAAACAATAACCCGGATGTACTGTTACTGTATTTTATAAATACTATACAGTTTCTCAAAGTGCTCTGAAGCAGATTCTCCCAGTAGCCATAAGTCACTAAAGTACTTTGCAAAATAAATTTCAGTCAGGATCAACATATATGAAATAAAGAAATGTTAGCATTGGCTATACAGCTTATTCATGATATTCATTTTGGTCATTTCATTGTTTCAATATCTTAGGAAAATGTAGACCCAAATATAATGCTAGCTGTCCATAAATTAGTCACCCTAAAATTTGAGCTATCTTTTCACCAGGAAACAGACTAATTTAAAGGTACACTTCCAGAAAACTTACCTGAATGCTAATCTAACAGAGCTACCTACTAGCAAAGCAACATAAACTGAAGAAACCATAATAATATAACATGACATAAATGAAACGCTAACATTGTACTGTGGTGTTACAGAAGGGAGAATCAGAATTACAACAGAGACTTTTTTTTTTCTTTGAAGTTGAAGGTGCCTCCTGAGCAAGAGGATTCAGGAATTATAATAATTAAACAATGTAGTGCCTAACAGTGTTCTAAAAAATTCACTTTAATGTTGGCAACTCAATTATCTTTGTCTGAATTATTTGGTTCTCCAGAAGGGCCAAATGATCTCTCAGACATCAATACGAATTCCATGTTTTGAAGACATCATTTGTCTGGTCCCTGTTACATACATAACAAGTGAACAGATGTGGGGTAAAGAGGATGTAATTATTACATAAAGCCAGAACGGTAAAGGAGACGTTTTTCCAAAGGGGCATATCCACAAGCCATGACGGATTCCATCTCGGATGTGGTGTGAGGTCCAGGATATAAATAACATCCAAGGCAGAAAGCACCATGAGTCTTTGAGCTTAAAAAGGTACATAGCAAACTTCAGGGTCAGAACCACAATGGGTATCACAGTAGAACAGTGAAGGAAAGGTCTTCGTGGAAGAGTCAAAGCAGCCTGAGGGGGAAAGGAGATGTTGGTATCATTGCCTTGTTGGCAAAACAAAATTTTATAGATGCTTCTTAATATTTTAAAACACCCTCCAGTAGCCTATCAGAAATACAGAGGAAACATTTTCTATGTGACCTCAGGATACATGAATCAAATCTGGTATGATAAGGAAAAGAAGATGAAGAATGACCAGGATTTCCTCTGCATTAAAAATGAAATCAAGACTCAGGAACACACTGATTTTTTTTTTTTTTTTTTGTCTAGAAAAGTCACAGCGTGAATAAATAATTTATATCCTAAACATAAGGTCTGTGTAATTTAGATTTTCAAAGAATGTCTGGGGCCTCTATGAGCACTGAGACAAGCCTCACAACCATAAAAAATATTTTTAATTATGGAAAGGCAACAAAAGGGAAATATTTTTGTTATAATCATTTTATATTGTTGTTGTTATGCGCTGTCGAGTTGGACCTGACTCATAGCGACCCCTCCTTGGATTTCCAAGGCGGTATCACTACGGAATTATTATATTAGTCTTAAATATTTTCAGGATTTATTTACAACATTTAGAAATATTATATTTTTAACTTAAGTATTCTAATGTCTAAGGTAGGGAGACCTCAAGTATTAGAAGCTGCCAGGACACGTTCCCCTGTAAATTACCTTACCCCTACTAATAGTGAAAACCTCAATGTTGTCGAGTTGATTCTGACTCAGAGTGACCCTCCTTGGGTTTCCAAGGCAGTAAATCTTTACAGAAGTAGATCGCCCATTCTTCCTTCCAGAGTGGCTGGTGGGTTTGAAGTGCCAACCATCTGGTTAGCAGTCAAATGCCTTAGGCACTACACCACCAGAGCTCCTCTATATTTTTTCTTTGTATTTTCCTTTACCAGAGCACTATATTGACAGAGAACTTCCAGAAATGCAAGCTGGATTCAGAAGAGAATGTGGACTGAGGAATATTACTGCTGATGTCAGATGAACCTTGGCTCAAAGCAAACAATACCAGAAAGATGTTTTACTGACTACACAAAAGCATTTGATGGTGTGCATCATAACAAATTATGGATAACATTGAGAAGAATGAAAATTCCAGAACACTTAACTGTGCTCATAAAGAACCTACACATAGACCAGGAGACTATCATTAGAACAGAACAAGGGAATACTACATGGTTTAAAATAAATGAGTGTGTCAGTGTTGTATCCTTATGCTGAGCTAATAATCTGAGAAACTGTACTACATGAAGAAGAGCTTCAGGATTGGAGGAAGACTCATTAACAACTTGGGATATGCAGACAACACAACTTTGCTTGCTGAAAGTGAGGATGACTTGAAGCACTTACTGGTGAAGACTAAAGACTACAATCTGCAGTATGGATTGTTGTTGTTGTTATGTGCCGTCAAGTCAGACCCAACTCATAGCGACCCCTCCTTGAGTTTCTGAGGCGGTATCACTATGGAAGTAGATTGTCCAACACCTCAATATAAAGAAAACAAAAATCCTCACAAATGGACCAATAAGCATCATCACGATAAATGGAGAAAAGATTGAAGTTGTCAAAGATTTCATCTTACTTGGTTCCACAATCAACACCAATGGAAGAAGCAGTCAAGAAATAAAATTATGTAGAGCCTGGTGAAACCACTGAGACTATGGCCCCTAGCTGCCCTTCAGGTCTGGAATTGAACCCACACCTGTGGTTTCCAGCCAAAGTACAGGCAAGTGAGTTAAACATTTACCTCAAGTAGACACACACCCTGGAGAGAACAATCATGGGAGAAGGAAGGGCTGCTTATGCACAGGGAG